AATCAAGAAAGAAGTAATTTATTTCTACAACAAAACTTATATCCCTATTGAAATAATAAAAGATTTTGTTAAAGAATGATATGAATTAATAGTATATAAATATCAAGAAATAATTAGAATATTTGCAAAACTATAATGGAAAGTATATTTCCTAAAGATAAAAACAATAATTAAAGAAATAATTGAGAAATATAATATTTGTATATAAAACAAAATTATTAAATATATTCTATATAATCAGTTTAAGACCCTCGATTTACTCTTGGAACTATAGAAATCTATTATATAGGATTTTGTAATTAAACTATTTCTTTCTAAAAAATTAATTACAAAAAGGAAATATAATATTATTCTAGTAATAATAAATAAACTAATCAAATATATTTATATAATACTATTTTATGAAATATAATTTATTGATAATTTGATATATATATTTCTAAGGAATATAATCAATATATATAATGTATTAGAAAAGATAATTTCGGATTGAGATAAGTTATTTACTTTGAAATTTTGGATTATATTAATAGTATTATTGGGTATAAAAAGGAAGTTATCGATAGTTTTTTATTTATAAATAAATAGGTAAATAAAGTAATTAAATTAGATAATAGAAATCTATTTATGATATTATATTAATTACAAATAAGATAATTGGGTTGAATTATTATCTTTGATTCAATTTGTATATAATTCATTAGAAACAGAAATAACGAAAACTATACCAACTTATATCAACTTCGGATTCTATTTAATAGTATATCGAATAATACTATCGTAAAATGGAAATATAAATGAAGTTATAAAGAATATTGAAGAAATTAAGGATCTATAAAAACAATTCTTTCTGAATTTATAATTCATAGTTTTAAGAATAGTAATATATTATAATATATTATATAATTTAGAACCTATATTTAAAGAGGAAAATAAAATTTATCTTTTTTGAAGAAATATATAAATAAAACGATTTAGTAATAAACTAGATTATAAAAAACTAGGATTATTCAAAATCGATAAAATAATTGGATTAATCAATTATAGATTAAAGTTATTATATATTATAAATATCCATTCAATATTCCATATATCCTTGTTCGAATTGGTATTACTAGAAATATCCGATATATTTATAATAAAAATCGAATCAATCAACCCAAATGTTATATACAATATCGAAACAATATTAGATTATAAATATATCAAAAGCAAAATTAAATATTTGATTAAATAATTGGATTTCTTATATTCGGAGAATATTTGGAAATTAAAGAAAGATCTTAATTATTTTGAGAAGCTAAAAGTATTCCATTAGCGATATTTAAAGTTATTTAAATCGAATCATTAGGATTCAAAAATCGAAAAAGAAGAATCGGAAAAAGATATTATAAAAGAATTGTTTTTAGAATTGGGAATATTAAACAACGAAATTTCCTTCCTTTTCTTAACAATTTCTTCTTTTAAATCCTTCTTTTTCTCGAATTTTTTCAATTCATTTATTATTTTCAGATTTTAACAAATTATTTCATTACTACAAATTTAAAGAAACTTATATTGTTTATACAATTATATCAGACAAGAAATAGTAATTGCAATCAAATTAATCGTTTTCTTTTTCTTTTCGTTTAAATACTTTTATTTTCGAATCAGATTATATATATTTGTAATAAAAAAGTTTATAAAATTATATTTGATCTTTTGATATATATATTCGTTATATCGAGAAGAATTCTTTTTCGAAATAATATAAATATAAAAGTTATTTTCGTAATAAGTATAAAAAGGTATAATATCTTCTTGAAATTCGATTAATTTTGCAAGTTCAATTTGTTCTTTATATTTCCTTGATTGTATAGATAGTATAATAAAAGAAAGGAAAATTTATTTTATAAAAAATTTTATAAATCAATAGATAAGATTACTATAAGAACTTAAAACAAATACTAAATTAAAAAAAGGATAATATTATAAAGTAACAATCAATCTATCTATATAAGTTTAGACCCTATTGAAAAGCAAAACGATTTGTATACAAATTTGTATAGTAATCACCTTATATAATCTTTTCATCTTTAATAAGCTTGGATATATAATCTAATCATAATTATATAATGGATTATAGAATCTAAGGGATCTAAAGAATTATATCCTAAATCTATTAAATCCTTATGATTCAATTGATAAGAAGATTTATATAGTTAGGAAAGGATTTCTTTTATAAAACTTTATACTCAAAATCAATCATTTAGTATACTCTATTATTAGTTACGAATTGCAACCATTGATATTATTTTAAAGCCCCTGCTTGACGCCTAGTTATAAACTATTCGAGGATCCAGGCCACTTCCACGTGATCTAGATCGCAACCCTCGTAACAAATAGATAACCAATGATTATTAGTCTTAACCTACAATTACCAACTATACGAAACCTGAGGCAGCCGCTGCATCAACCAGATCGTTACAGGTTCGTCTGGTTGGTAGTTGTAGGTCAAGGTTATTAATCATTAATTATTTATTTGAAAGTGAATTCGTTATTAGATCAAGTAGAATATAAGTAAACTAATTGATAACTAAATTTAATATAAAACTTTTAAATTATAAAACTATTTTGATTATATATTAATGAATGAAAATAAGTTTTATAAAATCCAAAAGCTTTCAAAAGCTTCTAAAGCTTTAGGAGCTTTTTAAGTTTTTAGAATTCCTTATTATGTAATCGATCCTAAAACTTCTTCTTTCCTGGAACACTTATCCCAAAAGCTTTTCTTTAGGAACCTTTACTCTAGAATAAAATGATTATTCCATTACAACTGATTAGCCAGAACACTTATCCTATTCTAATATAATTATCTAGAATACTTATCCTAGAAATCCTGGGTTCTTATTCGTGGGCGGTTAGGCCCCCTGAAAACAATAGTTAAATCACACCCCCCTGGTAATCGGCATCTAAATCATCGATATCAATAATACTACTATAATCTAAACCGTGAATCGTGATATATATATAACCCAATTAACCATTCGTAAGAGTGGCGTCATTTTTCCGTGATAGTTAAGTTATTTGATCTTATATATAGAAATATAAAAGTGTTTATTCTTGCTTGGTTCGTTATTCATTCACCTGCAGATTATAAGTCATTGAAAGCACTACAATTGTAGATATGAAGACGATCGTCTTATTATTATCGCACAGGTGAAACAAACTTTGTATAACCAGCCCCGCTAGAATCGCGCCTTGTATAGATATTGTTATACCTAATATCATTAAGGTGTTTGGTTTATTAACTATTTATTATGTATTTACTTGCTAGACAGAATTCTGGATTCTTTGAGGTGTTCATGCGCAGTTGATGGCGGGTGGGAGGAATGTGGAATATGGAATATGGAATATGATGGAGAATAGTAGAATAGTGGGACTGATGGTGGGGTAACCCTAATCTTAGGTTAGGAAAAAAGGCTTAGTTGTTGGTGCAGCGAAAATCATTTTTCTTTTGGGACGGGATCAACTGGATTTGTGGGGTCGATGGGTGGATGGAGGGATGGATGGATGGATGGATGGATGGATGGTGGGGTAAGATTGTTCTGGGTGGATTTGAGGTAGGGTAGGGTTAGGTTGAGGATTTCTATGGTGGAGCGGAGAGGAGAGGGAAGGGAGGAGAGGGAGGAGAGGGAGGAGAGGGGAGGAGAGGAGATCATGAGGAGATGGATAATGATGATATAGATACTAGGTATATGAGTGCGATTTCGGAATATATAATCTAATGCTATATAACTAGTACCTACTTAGAATTACCCAAAAGCAAGGTTTTGGTGGGATTCACTTGACTTTTGATGGATGAGGTGCTTAACTAAGACTAGCTGATCGACTGACTGGTCTAAATATGTTCTCGAGTTCGAATGATGAGATAGTGGTAGATGTTAGTATATTGGAGTGTAATAGAGTGTGATAATAGGTAACCTTAATATATGGATCGGATGATTGATTACTTTGAATAAGTTCCGGTAGGTAGTAAAGATGTAGTAATGGTATGGTAATGGTAGTAGTAAGGATTGGAGATATGTTTAGTGAGGAGACTAAAGTAACTATTAAGTTATCTTACTTCCATTACAACTTGATGATTCTTATTGCCAAACCTTTGCACTGTTGTAATTATCCTGATTACGATGTTATGATGCTTTGATCATACTTTATTATGTGTGATTTCTGGACTCTTGGTTATTGACGGATGGGTATATTATCTGATATATGTGATTCCTAGATCTTTGATCGCTAGTGGATGAGATATGATATTGTGAGAAAGTTGGAATTATAGGCCAAATACATAAAGGTTTTAGCTAGTCAATCACATGACCTTCTGTAGTTAGATATAAAAGAAGAACCTTTTGCCTCTTCTTTTTACAATAATCAACCTTCTACATATATACATTTGAACCCATATAATATCAACCCCAAAACCATTGTGAATCCCGTTTTACCCATAAGTGACGTATTACAATGTAATCTAATTCAGCTTTCTCTTCTAATTCCCTCCTCACAGCGTGCTATCGGGACGCACGTATCTCGACCTACCACTTTTACAATATATTATCTAGTATATATGATTTCTGGACTTTTGGGTAACAATGAATGAGGTAGTAGGTATCTTATTCAACGTATACTAGATGGCGCGTGTTTTGTGATGGTTCTCTAGTCTTACACATGGGTATTTATGAATATCGATGATTTGAGCATGGATATATGGATGCTGATATGAGGTTATCGATGAAACGGAGTGAAGCGAAGAGTGAAGTGAGTGGAGTGCAGTGAAGGATGGTAACTTGGTTGAAGGAAGAATATGTATAATTAATGAATCTGGCTATTATAAGATGCACAATGAAATGATCAACCCAATCATGGATAAATTTCATCCGTATTGGAATCTCTAATACTACAACCGTTCACCAAACTTAAATACTGGCCTACTTATCGGAGATCAATGCGATAACCAAGCTTGGGCACACCCCAAAATCAATAAGGAACCCCGCATCAACACTAGTGGAGTGGGCGGCCTCACCTAATCAATTAAAGCCTCATACCTAATGAAAGACCTGCTGCCTTGGTAAAGTCAACACACCCATTACGACTCCTTTTATAAAAAGTAAAGAAACGTCCGTCTTACATATTTGGTACGAGGTGCAGCACAAAATCCTCAAGTTTTTTACCTTCCCATCTAAGTTTCCTAATCAACATTGTCCACATACAGAGAAAGTCAGAAGCAGAAGCAAAAGCAAAAGCAAAAGCAAAAGCAGAAGCTTCAACTTCTCTGTCTCTGACACGTCTACGCTTAATCTATCAAAGCCCGGACTTCCTCGATTTGCCAATAGGCAACGATTCGGCAAGTACTAAGTTAGTTAACTCCTCCCACTTTCCTCCAACCCACGGCACCACTCGGTGTACGCTTTCTCCATAGAAACTGGAGTGGGAACTTTACATCATCAAGAACAGATCAAAAGTAGGGACCTCTTCTTCTCCATCTTCTTGTCAACCTTGACTTTGTTATTTACCGTGTTCTTGAAAGCCATCTCCATTCGACTGCCTCGCATTCATTCACAATCACTTCTTTCACTTTACCATTTGCTCGAGATTTGATATAATATATCGCAAGGCTAATGACATGGAGTCATCCAGCGAGATTCCTTCTTTAGGTTTGACATCTCAAAATCAACCAGAGAATTCCACCGAATTTCGGTTTCCTGCCCCCGCGGTTGATACAAGAGTAACTACTTGGGTCGAAACCCAATCTTCTAACAAGATGTCCACACTCAGCGAATCCCCATCTGATGAAAGTCACCTTTCCGAATCTACTTATGAATTTATTGATACGGATGATGAGAGTCATGATGAGAATGCTACCGAGTCTATAGCTTCGGTTGAATTTGGTCATCCAGATGATATGCAGAGCCTCGCAGATACTGAAAATACTGATGAAAGTGGGGATGAACATACACACGATTCTTCAATTCCTGCCTATGGCTTGGATAACTCAATCAATAATTCTTTCAATAATCCTACCATCGGTCGAAATTCTGCTGTCTTGCATGACGATTCCGATACCGCACTCTCACAATCCATCGAGTTTGAAGAACCATTTGGTAGCCTTGGGGTTGAGAATGTATCAGTCAGACATACAGTTGCAGAGTTCACCGATGAGGAGAATCAAACCATCGCACGAGATATGAACATGCAGAACCCTCCAAATCATTTAGTCCTCACCATTCGACAGACGATGACGAAACAAGGTTTATCGACTAAAGACCCACTCCGAATCCTCTATATAGGCAGCCACGCTGCGAAGCAAGATATCATACACAAGATTGCAAGCTCTGTCACTGCTTCGGTTGAAGGTCAGGAGCGTTCAAGTCGAAGCTCTTCTCAAATCTACAATGTTGTGCCGGTATCTGCATTTGGTTCGGAGAAAACACCGGAAATCGAGCTCATGCATTCATCTGGTTACCAAATCAAGGTTGATGACTGCGTATCTGCTCAAAACCTACAATTCGAGGATCATCCAGAAAAGCCCGACGTCATTAGGTTAAACCTCGAGGACCCTTACTGTTACCATTCTGTTCCAGAGAAAGATCACTTCATCATTGAGCCGGAATGGGAATTACCACATGTGGCAATTTTCTACTGTTCTGATAGCGATGATTTACAAGCACGACGCACACGCACCATCGCCAGAAAGTTCATGGCTCGTCATGCCATACCATCCATTGTTATTTCACACAAGCAATTACTAAATAAAGCTCATTGCATGTCTTTGGATCAGCATTCCATTCATATGTGCTTAGAATCTCGAGAAACAAATGCCAGAGGGAATATCATCCATCGTCTACCAATAGATCTTAACTCTTTCTTAAACATCGATGCTAGGCAGATGAATAGAAATCTTGCCTACTTGACTGGTCTCCATGAACCTGCGAGTTTATCTACGCCACCAGCAATTTCTAAGAAGCTTGATAACTTTGCAATCCCTACGAATCGGGAAAAGTCAGTGAGCTCAGAATGGATCCACTATTTTGCAGAGTGGAGAGCTTTACTTCCATATGGTTTGCTTGCTTTGAGTGTTCTATTTGCCATCTTCACCCACGGCATCCCGACTTATTCCTTTTCAAACCAACCGTCAATTTCTGTCAACAGCAAAACCATGTCAGCTGTACCGATGACTACAACATCTACCGCGGGATCAGCACCATTTACAAGCATTGCCCCCGGTACTCAAGCCACCATTACCCCTTCCCCCTCGGTTGTGAATTCATTACCGCCAAATAGTCTGTCAAAACCTCAACTAGATTTTGCAAAACTTACGCAAGCCGGCCAAAAGAAGTCAAGCAAATGTGGCTCTTGTACAGCTGAGATCTTGGGAGATAGAGAGGTATTGATTCGTATCCCACCCGCCATGAAGGTCAGCTGGCTCACTAAGTTGGCAATGTCGGTCAACATCACTAGAGACAATGTCACAGTTGATACGGAGCGTGCATACAGTTCTGATGATGGAATTGTATTATTACTTCCAAAGAAGGAAGCCCATGGTGTTCTTAACATTTCGGTTGTCACTACGAAGAAGCCACGCATCAACGAGACTTTCCAAGTTGATTTTAGAACCAATTCTCTTCAAACCATGCAAGATCTTCTAGATAGATTTTATGCCTTTTTCAAGGAAGATACTATCATAGCTGATGGTCAAACACTTGCAGATGTTCGTACCGCTGCCGAGAAGATTATCAATGATGTACGCCAATCCTCTCAGTCAAAAATAGCCAACATCGATGAAGCCAAACGTCTAGCTATGGATCGGGCATCTTCTATCACCTCTCAACTTACCAATTCAGCAAGAGATATGTCATTTGAGGCTGCCAAACGCAGTGCTCGCATCTCATATGAACTTGGCTCTCAACTAGCAGGTGTGGAGAAGGTTATTGCTGATCAATTGCATTCGCTACAAAATATCGGTAACCCATTAGATGAGGGACTTCTTAAGGCTCAAGTCAGATCTAAGTCTTTATGGTTAAAAATGCAAGGAAAGAATGCGGAGGCGGAGGATTATGAACGCAGAGCTGCGATAGCTATGAGTAAGAAGGCTAAAGAGGCAGGAAAATCTGAGGAGACACCTGTGCCCAAATCACAGAAGACAAAGTTTCAGTTGTGGAAGGGAAAGAGAGATGCATATAAGGCAGTGACGAAGGAAGAGAGAGCCGCGAAAAAGGAGGCTAGACAAGCAATCAAAGCAGCAAATAAGGAAGCAAGAGCTGCTGCTAAGAGAGCAGGATGGACTGGGAATTGAGGCGTTTATATTTGGGGAGTTAAGGAATAGGACAATGGATTGGGATGGATTGGGGGTATACCAGAATGGGATGGGGGTATGGATGGGCGGACGGACGGACGGACGGATCAGGATGAATCTTGTTTACTGCGTAATATGATATTGACACGATATGATACGCATCGGTGAATTTTACGGAGGAAAATACAATACAATGCGATGGACTGTTTAGGTTAGGGCTGAATTAGGTTAGTTTGCTCTATAGGACAGAATTGCCTAAGAAGAGCTAGGGGTTAGGTTAGTTTCGTAGGGTCTCAGCTCAATTACAAATATGCATTTGATATGAAATTTTATTTATTATTGGTTGTATTTATTCATTCGTCTTGATTGTAGATTGTGATTTAATTGTAGATTGTAAATGTTGAATACAGAAGAGTAAAGAACATTCTCTAGAGCCTTTATTTATCTCTTATATTTTACATTCCCATCACTCATTCATTACTCATAAACAATTATCATTATCATCATCAAATTAACTCTTATTCCTAGACTAGATAACTCAATCACTCACTCCACCCCTTCTCTCCTTTTCTTTTCTAGATCTCATCTCTCTTTCTTAACTCTTAAATTTTATTGTCGGCTTGCCGACACCATAACCTTGCTGTACGCGAGGTTTATCCGGTGTAGGTTGTAGAAAATGAGGTTCGCTTAAGGTTGCGATAAAAAGCTTGGCATAAGCCTTATAGCCTCAGGCAAATCTGACTTGAAGCTTTTTTCAATATAACTTTATTAAAATCATTCAACTCGATTTTATTAAAATCATTCAATTTTATTCATTTAATTTATCTCATTAAATTTATAATAATAATAATAATAATAATATTTAAAATAAGAATATTTAAAATAAGAATATTTAAAATATTAAATTTTCAATTATTAAAAGGAAACTGATATTCTATCTACACTCTAATATATATATTTAATATTTAAATTTATTAAACTTTTTAAAACTTAAATTTTTACTAGACTTTCTCGAAAAGCCAGGGGTCCGGTGTTACGACGGCTTCGGGCCTCGTATCATGTGACCACTCATGAAGTCACGTGGTCCCTTAGATCCCTTCGATCTCTTTACCGAAGGGACCGAAGGGACGATTAGTATGAAGGTCTATATAACCAAGATGGATTTCCTTTGTATAGAGCTTCGTGCTCAAGATCAATCATTTAGTATACTCTACTATTAGTTACGAATAGTATATCATTATCGTTGTTATTTAAATCCCTGCTTGACGCCTAGTTATAAACCTACCTCGAGAGCCTAGAACACTTTCACGTGATCTAGACGGCTACCCTCGTAACATCCGGGGGGCGCAGGCCCCTGGTAATTTTATAATACTTCAAAATTCAACAATAATATGACCCTTTTCATCTTCACTCAATCTTAATCTCAATTGGTTAATTTTGTATTTTGAATTAATATATATATATTATTAATATATTGATATATCAAATCATTAATTATTATTATTATTATTATTATTATTATTATTATTATTATTATTATTATTATTATTATTATTATTATTATTATTTATTTATTTACAAATTCTCGCATCTTCTAGATTATAAATATCTTCAAGGTCTTATCTTGTTTAAAAATTTATTACTCGTAGATAATATGTTCTATAGTCTCATAAATAATTACTTCCAACGTCATATCAGTGCTACGCTCGGATCTCGATACTCTCTCTGTGTACTCTATAAATCTATTGATTAGTTGCACAAATCAAGTATTAAGAACCATTCAATTTCCATCCTCTAGCAATACATCCACGATATAAACAAGCTCAAGCTCAAGCTCAAGCTCGAGCTCGAGCCCAGCCCCCAGCGCCAGCATAATTTCACAACCTAAAACTCCATCATGATTTCTGGTCTAAATCCCATCGACAAAATTACTCATGTAATCTTACATCAAAACATATCCAGCTCTTAAATCTCAATTTATCAACATTTCGCTTCCCCCATCAACATCATCATTATCCTCCACTCCCACCATAGTAAACATACATTGGATCGTCCACTCTCTACCATATAGTTCCAAATCTTTCAATTTAGGAATATCAAGTAGTCTTCCCTCAGCCTTTTCTGGTGCAAGTAAGCCATTTAGACTTGTTCCGATTATACAATTTTTGAAGGTGTTTTGAATCTTTCTTCGAGCCTTCCTTAAAGTTCTTCGTCTTCACAATTCATCCACTTTTCCTCCTGAATATTGACCGCAGCAGCGAGAATTGGAATAAGATACTTTGATCTTCAGAGCTCCGTCGTAGATGGTTGATGAAAGGTTTGTCCAGAGCTGATGTTACCGGGATTTTGGGGAGCTCTAACATCTTCGCCGAAGATCAGATTGGATATAAGTTTGCCAACATGATGAAGGATAACTGCTAATATACCGTCGAAGATGTGCGTATGTAATTCATTCCTTGGCTGCCAATCGATGCTTCGAACAATTCCAATAAATAGCTTGGTAATGAAACCAATCATCATAACTTCATCACTTCCAGCGCACAAATTAAGCAAGTCAGTTAAGCCTTGATGAAAGAAAGAGCATAAAGAATGTGTAAGGATAGCCTCAATCACCAACTCTGTTCCAGCGATAGTTCCATAATGCTCAACGGAAATTTCGACACAAGTCTAGACAGTCCCGATGATCTTGTTCGCAAGAAACATCAAACACTTAGTTTCATTGCTATGGTAGTTTGCTCCTTTGATATCGGTGTATCTGAAAATGCAGTTAGACAATGCTTTCCAGCTCAATTCTAAGAGCTTTCTGCATGTATCAGGAGTGGGGTTGAGTTGAAGAGATTGACGGTCCTCAGAAATCCGATATACTGCAGAATAATGTATAAGTGACGGAACGATTTGCTACAGAACCGCAAGAGCCTGAGACTTTTTAGTTACAATACGAGACAATCATTACATGATCTTGACTATACTTCAAAGACAACACATCAGTTCCCATCCAATTGTTTTCGTCAGGAATTGTATCCACTTCGCTAATTTTCCTCTTCTCTGTCGGATGATCCAAAGGTTGGACGAGTCGAGGCTCTGAGGGGGCAGGGTCAGGACCAGCCGGAACTTCAACCTCAACTGAGCCATCTATTAGAGTTGTTTGAGCGTCCTTTTGATAAACGATGGTTTTTCCTTTAAAATCCCGATTTCAGTATCCATTTCATATTAACAATGCATTGCCTTTTATATTGTCGTTCCCAGAATTCTCCAGAATCAACTACACCATTGCTTCTTGATTCTTCAGGTATTAATATCATATGATTTGAATATCATATAATATCATAGTTATATTTATAATATAATATTTATCATTACATCACCTTATATGATTTATACCCACAGATATCATAACATCCGAACCATTTTATAAAATAGTTATCCTACCCTACAAAGCTTCAGCAGAGTGATTTTTCGGCCGGGTTTAGCCTAGTTACCCCGGGTATACCTTACCCTTTGCCCAGCCCTGGATGAGACATATAAGAATTTGGATTCGATGAAAGATGATTGAAATGAAGAGTTCCTCAAAGTGATAACCATGTGAAAATGACTCGCAGCTTAGATGATAGAAGAATTATATGGACTTAAAGCTTTAAAGCAGTCCTAACAAGATATTTAGAGGGAAAGGATATGGATAGGAATGAGAGAAGATGGAGAATAAGATGCAAAATAAAAAATCTGTTTGTTTGAATTGACTGAAAAGTGCGAGGTTTAATTGTATCGTGTGCCCTGTAAATATAGGGAAAGAGCATTGTACTCTCAAACAGGAAAGAGCTCCCGTGACATTCTTCTCTAGAGTCTAAGGTCTTGAGCGGCTCATATCGAAGGATTTAATCTATTACCAGATGCGCAAAAAGATAAAGTGATTCTCTCATTACACTGCATGATTATAGTCTTTCTGGACAGGGTATCTGACAATGTAGAAATTCCGCTTGTCAGATACAAAAATATGCTCGGTAGGCTGCTTCTGGATGTGCTTCTGCAGAGATGGGAATGTTTGTTCAACCCACCTCCTAACTATCTACTTCCATAATGGTAGAGTTTTATGAATAACCTGAAGATCTCGTATGAATCCGAATATGGGATAGACACTTATCCATACACCGACAACTTTCGTTGAAATAAGGAATTCCAGCACGCGAATTTAGGTTATCATGAATATAACTTCATATACATGGTCATATCTATATCTCGTCCATACCATCCATAAAAAGATGCAATATACCATATTTACCATCTCAATTGCATTTTCAAAATCTTGAGCATCGAATGAAGTCCATGAGACATTCACACGAATCTCTACGAAGCGCATCGGCAAATGCCTGGTCCCAATACCCGCAGAGCCTCACCTCGCTTCACCCCGCATTTACGCTAATGAACTTCTGCTTGATTGATTAGTACCTTGGATTCGCTCATCAACTTCAAGCTTCAATTTCCAGCACACGAATCCTTACTGCTTGCGCCAATCCACCAGAACTCCCGCCAACGCAGGAATCTTCACCAACCATATATATTACACCAAGCAAAATCAATCGCAAAGCAAAGATAAAATGGTGTATTTAAATACCGCCCAAGAATGGCTCACTCAATCTTCTCTCCTATTAAAAGCGCATCCTAGTACCGTACGTGTCCCTCTCCCTTCCCCTTTCCTCCCCTCTTTCCTCCCAAAACAACTAACACATCCTCAAACAGACCCGCATAACAACCAAATACACGATCCTCCACGCCTCTTCCTCCCCCCACGCACCCTCCACAACACACTCCACGCCCAGCAAACCCCGTCTCCCAAAGCCCTCCTCCTCGCAACCCGCACCTCCGCGAGCAACCCTCACAATAACAACCTTTCACCCACACTCAGGTGTAAACCTTAAATATACAACTAATAAAGCGGCGGAAGTAAGTCGATTGATACAAATTATGGGACGACTTGGGAAATTGATGGCGGGATTACCGGAGGAGAAGGAGGGATTGGGGGAAATTAATATGGGTGAGGCGCCTGTGGGTGTTGAGGAGGAGAAGGGGGAGGAAAAGGAGAAGGAGGTTGGAAAACAGGCGCAAGCACAGATGCAGACGGCGCAGACAGCGGGAAAGGGAAAAAAGAAGAAGGGAAAGAAATAAACGGATGGTTTAAGAAATTTGATTGGGAGGATCTGGTGGATAGATTCTGGTGTTGCTGGAATAAGTTCGAAGGATTGGTTGCACAGTGCCACAACTCGGAAGATTTATAATCTATCTACGGCATCACATCACATCAGTCTTTACATCGCAAATCCTCGCTCCTTGCCCGAAAGAGGGTCGAGGGGAAAACACATATGGATTGAGCTGTGTTCCAGCATGACTTGCTATACATATCACTTTGGTATACTGTAGAAATTTGCATGGTGAGGCTGGCGAAGGACTTTTGGGCATAGAGGAGATAGATACATGGCTGGCTGATATGCTCATGTGTACTAAAGTAAATATATCATTCATCCAAGATATCCAAAATGTATCGCGGAAAGTCACCAAATCAGTCACAACAATTATCGACAACAATAGACATATCGAATCTTGTGTATATTGGACTTTATTCGTTACGCTAACTAGCAATTTCATCGTTATCCTATCCATCCATTCAATCCTACCATGGTATACCTCAACCATGATTTCCCTGTCAGCCATCTATGTCCAAAAGACATGTGTACATCATATTCATTCCGCCCAGCCAATTTTCCAACACCCCAACTCCTTCATGTTAAATATTATTGTACAAATCACATACCCTCATCAAACATCTATGTGTGTAAGCCCCGGGAAAGAAGTCAAGAGCTGTATAGAGTAAACGCCAGTACCATCTTGAGATAAAAACAAAAAGAAAAGGGAAGATAACATCTAGAAGTCTTCGTCAAAGTTGAAGTCACCTCCATTCTCTGCCTTGGCTTCGGTTTGAGCTTCGGTATCCTCATGTTTCTTTTGAGTACCGGCCATGACACCGGCCTTTTGGTAATCTCCAACTCTCTTCTCGAAGAAGTTGGTCTTACCAGCCAAGGAGATATTCTCCATGAAGTCGAATGGGTTGGTAGATTTGTAGACTTTGTCGTTACCCAAAGCAACGAGGAGACGATCAGCGACGAACTCGATGTATTGCTTCATGAGAGTAGAGTTCATTCCCAAAAGAGCGCAAGGAAGAGCCTCGGTCAAGAATTCCTGCTCGATTTCAACGGCTTCGGTGATGACATCTTGGACGGCTTGTTTGGATGGGCGGTGCTTGAGATGAGAGAAAAGGAGGCATGCGAAATCGGTGTGGAGACCTTCATCACGGGAGATGAGCTCGTTGGAGAAGGTGAGTCCAGCCATGAGACCACGCTTCTTGAGCCAGAAGATGGATGCGAAAGACCCAGAGAAGAAGATACCTTCTACAGCGGCGAATGCAACAAGACGTTGAGCAAAGGTAGAGTTCTTGTCTTGAATCCATTTGACGGCCCAGTCGGCCTTCTTCTTAATGCAAGGAACTTCCAAAATTGTTAGATGATGTATTGTATAGTGGTGTAAGCTTATGACTTACTTGTGTCAATAGCATTGAAAAGGTATGTCTTTTGTGCCTGCTCCTTAATGTATGTGTCGATAAGAAGAGAGTATGTTTCGGAGTGGATATTTTCCATCATGATTTGAAAACCGTAAAAGCATCGTGCCTCTGGAATTTGAACTTCACCACTGAATCTCTCCACCAAGTTCTCGTTGACAATTCCATCGGATGCTGCGAAGAATGCGAGGACGTGGGAGATGAAGTAACGCTCGTCGTCATTGAGTCTGTTGTTCCAATCGTGAAGATCCTTTGACAAGTCAATCTCTTCTGCCGTCCAGAAAGATGCCTCTGCCTTCTTGTACATCTGCCAGATCTAATTGCAAATATGTCAGCACTCTACGTGTCAACGCGTGAAGGACGCGACCCACCTCATGGTACTTGATTGGGAAGAGAACGAAACGGTTCGGGTTTTCTTGGAGAAGAGGCTCATCTGCTTCCTCTGGCTTGATTCCAGGTGCAACTGTAACAGTCTTTTCTTCCTTGACGATTGGCTTCTGGAGTTCTTTGACAATTGGCGCGTCAACATCGAGTGCATTGTTTTCTTTTCCGGCAAGGTTGAGCTTTTTAACAGGCGATTCCATTTTCATGTTTTGAATGCCAGAAGCAGCCTATGGGATTCAAGTCAGTATGATAATGTAGACGCGAAAATAAATTGAATGAGGGGCAGTAATGGAAGGAGGGGTGGCGCGTTTCAACGTACAGTCTTTGATGGGGTCATTTGAGAAGTCATTGTGATTGAATATGATGAATATAAAGAAAGTTGTTTGATTATTGGTATTCGGTATATGGAAGAAAGAAAGAAACCGGGAAGTTGTTCGTGTTTGTATGTTGTGTTGAGTTAAATGGAATGTATGTATGAACAAGAGAAACCGCGTCTTTAAGAGCTTTCGATGCTCGTCACGTGGAGAAAATTATTAACACGCTAATTTTCGCGTTCGCGTTGAAAAAAGGCTGGGAAATTTTAGATGGAAACACACTTTGACTAACGAACCACTTATTCTAACTCAAAGAACCACTCAGCTCATGAAATCAAAGTTCCAATTAATGCCAAGCAAAGTTATCAGATCTTAATCCTAGAAGATCAATAGGAAACCACAGTAACGCGTGAAGTATTGACAAAAGTCTTGATAATAGGTGGAGTAAGATCAGTCATGATGATTCAGATATGAGTGCATTTGGACATGAGTAGCCTCCTATGGAACACGGTGCGGAGATTTGACACGTTTTTATTTCATTGAAGGGATTTTTCATTTTCATTATTTTACATCTATGGTATCTTATATCCTAAAACCCTCGCCTCGTATACGCAATGCATCTTCCTCGTTACTTACGAAAAGCAAGCGTCATCAATTACTGAAGCAAACAAAGAAAATCGTGCCAGCATTAAATATCAAAACATTCCTAACCCTTCCTTCGGCATTAAAATATGGAAAATCCTTGGAAGTTTCTCCAAGTTCGAAATGACAACGATATTTATTGTCAACGTCTACCACTCTTCTGAACCTTCTTAGGACGAACCGGAAGTGGGGGCTCTTGTGCGTGTGATTTATCGCCGCGACCTTGTTCGACATCCGCTTGCCTTGTCCGCTGTGATCTATCGCTACGACGACCTTGCTCAGGATCAGGTTGTCTAGTTCGCTCTGCTCTACCTCCATAACCGAACCAGCTATTGCGATTACGTCCACCTGGCTCCCGAGGACTAACAGGCTCTTCATTTTCTCTGGACGTGTATCGTGGAGGTTCTTCATCAGAGAGTTGCTCATCGTAAAGATCGAATTCATGGGGGTCGGTAACATCAACGGCAGGTAAGCCTTCACCTTTTGCCTTCAGTATCTTCGCGCCCTTATCGCGCAAATGCCTTTCGAGCTCAAGGGCGTTTCTGGTATTCGCACGGAATACTGCATCGACAAGGTCTCCTGCGAATGGTATAAGACCAACAGCAAAATCGAGCATGATATTGAACATCATCTTGGATTTGACACCGTTCGGGAGTCCGCCATCAACTTTATTGCATGTTCGAAGAACCATCATCGCCATGAATAGATCGATAAAGTCACCAATCCTATTTTATGTCAGTGAGGCAATGTGATGGGAGTGGGGAAGAGAACTTACGCAGGAACGAGACCGATCACACTACTCCATCCGAATCTAATTCCGCAAAAATTGAAGAGACTCATATCTAGTCTATAAGCTCTGCGCTTGACTTTGGTGAGGATCTTTGCATCTTTTTCTGATATGCCAGCAGGTATCGCCTTTCTTCTCCTCTGGGTTTTCTTTTTCGAGGGAACACCGTCTAAGCGGGAGGCAGGCACAGTTTCGAAGTACAAGTCCTGGAAAATTGTCAATGAACGATCTCTTGACGAGATAGGTATTTGATTCAATATCGTACCTCTGATCCGAATTTATTTGCAACAGATTCCCCCAAAAACTTTTTACTGATATACTTTGCTGCGAGCGAAGTCATGATTGTGACGCTTATTTGGGTAGGTGCAGTTTTTGTATTTGGAAATAATATGTTTGAGTAGGATATTTTCCTCTTTAAGGAGTTATTGAAGACAGAGAGCCGTTACACCAACTTATTTCTGATAGTAGGGGCTTTTTGGAGAAATTCGTTTGTTCTTCGTTTCGTTGGTGGTGCTTGATCGATGAGTGGTTTCAGAAAGCGCTTGATATCACTATTTTTGGATTGTCCCAGCTTTGACACATAAATATGAATGTCTTTGGATTTCAATGAACAATGAAATGGAATTGAAAATAGAAAACCTATTTATGAGAAATACTAACCTTTAATCACTTACCCATAAAATCATCCTTAGAAGCTTGAAACAAAGCTTGATTTTCACTTATCTTTCATGTTGGGCAAGATTTTTTGTCCAAGATTCGACTGCGCCCCTGTATTGGAAAAACGTCATCCGACACCTGGAACTTGCAGATCCGAGGAATCTTATTCCGCCATGTCAGGCAGTCATGTGATAATGTGGCTGAGGATATGTGGCGTTAAGTTTGAATCGACCGTGGCTTTCCGCTCCCACCGCCGTATTCCAAAGGCAAGCTATTGACACTGCCTCATTTATTGACATCCAACTCACTTACGCTCATACCTCCACAGTTCACGACCTTCAAGTCAATCAATCATCCACACAATCTGTGATCACCGTATCTACCTGTATAACCTAGGCAAGCTCTTTACTAAATAGGCCACTTCTTTATTTTGCCACCAGGTCTTTATATTATTTTGGTTTTAGGTTATTTTGGCCTAAGCGTTCCTGCGCGTTCCCCGCCCCGAAAAGAACGTCGAGTCGTGGATATGCTTGTGACGCGAATACAACATGTCAGAGAGAAAAATGCAGCTAGAAGACTGTAAGTATTTTGATGATGCCGTTATCGAGTCGACCTTTTTACCATGCTGCATCGTCTTTTGCTCGAGAACTATATCGCACTGTTCAAGTGCAGCCTCACCATAATCAATATTCATATTCAAGTAGTTTAGCTAACCACATGGCAAATATTCAGGGCTGGACGACCTTTGCGTCCGATTCATAATAAATATTCCTGCGGCTGATTTATCACACGTTCCTCGAATATGTTTTCAAGTCGAGGAAGCGCAATGGTACTACGAAGATTTTATTCGACCCCTCGACCCAAGCCTACCATCAATGTCCCTTCGTAACTTTTGTCTAAAGATATTTCTACATTGCCCCTTACTTTCAAACTTTTCAGAAAGTATACATATGCGAGCTTTTGAGGAGTTTCTTTTATATAAGACCCGAGTTCCGGTAAGAGGTGTGATATTGTTGAATGCGGACATGGATTCGGTTGTTCTTGTTAAAGGTTGGAAGAAGGGTGCAAATTGGAGTTTTCCGCGGGGGAAGATAAATAAAGATGAAGACGATCTTACATGCGCTATCCGAGAGGCATATGAGGAGACTGGTTATGACCTTGAAGGCTCAGGGCTTGTGGCTAAGGATCGAAGTCTGGTCAAGGGCATCGATGTTACTGGGCATGGTCAGCAGATCAGATTATACGTCTTCAGAAATGTTCCTATGGATACCCGCTTCGAAGCACAAACTCGGAAAGAGATTAGTAGGATAGAATGGTGGCGGTTATCTGATCTTCCAGCTTATAGGAAGAAAGGCCAGCAACAACATCAACCCGAGGCTGCTGCCAATGCCAACAAGTTTTATATGGTAGCTCCTTTCCTACCTCCACTAAAGAAGTGGATTCTGGATCAGAAGAGAAAGGATGTAAAAATAGCAACAGATAATCAGCAATTTGAAGCTACAGGTAATATCAGCCACGATGAAGGTATCACTGAGGATGATCAAGCAATTGAGCCAAGCATAAATTATAATGCATCCGCCTCACACGATGCAGAACGAACTAGGCGAAATGCTGCCGACCTTGCTCTTTCTGCAATAATGCAAGTGCAGCCGCCGAATCAGGGATTGCAGCCCAGCGCCATCAATCCGGCTCAATCACAAGCTTCGCACAGCTCAGGGCAGCAACTGCTTGCTCTTTTACATAGCAAACCAGCAGTGGACCAACCGCCTTCAACACAACCACCTCCCCAAACACCGCTAGATCATACCATCACACAACCTCCTTTTCCCGAAACGCCTCATCATCAAGTACCTAACGCTTCACATATCTCGAATCAACCACCACCTAGTTTCCCACTACAACAGCACCAAGGCCAACATCTAATGCAGACTTATCCTTACCAGCAGCCTGATTTCCAAGTCCGTCACGATCAAAGGTCTATTCCCAATATGCAGTATCGTCATCAGGTACCGCCACAAATGCCACACCAAATGCCTCACCAAATGCCACGACATATACCGCAACAAATACCGCAACAGATTCCACAACAGCGAGAACGTCATCCATATCAACCTCCTCTGATTCACCCCCAACCACTACCTCCCAATGCCCAGAAAGTATTGTTTACGGGAGCCCCAGTACATTCCACAATGGTTCCACAGCATGTTCAGCAACAACCTCCGCATCCCAACTTTACGACCTCCGGCTCAATGCGTCTCCCTCAATTTCCTAATGTACATGCTACCATGGTTCCGCCTCAACCAAAGGAAGCACCTGCTGCACTCACTAGCCATTCGTTGTTACTTCTAAACACTTTCAAGACTCGCGATCAAACAAATGGAAATGTCACTTCCAACGGCATGTCCTCCCAAGTACCAGCTCAGTCAAATGTAAGCCCTGCGATACGCGAAGCTCAAGAGCTTCCGGGAGAAAGTTCTCGGCCTATATCTGTTACCTCCCCTACTGAGTCAAAGTACATACCAGCTTTCAATACAGGCATTCCAAATACCGGCAATAACAATCAAACGGCTCGCCCACCTGTCAGTGAGCATCAACGATCCATGTTACTGGGCATGTTCAAAAGTCCTGCAGCTCAAACTGCAACTCTAGCTGCAGGACCAGTCGCTATGGCCCTGCCAACATCCAGGTCACCTTCTGCGGTAGAATTGAGCGCAGTAGATCTTGCTTCCCCACCTCCCATCCCACAGCAAAAGGGCACCAATACAAACGCCGACGTCCGCAAAGCTAGCCACGGAAATCCAGAAATGGATCCAGAATCAAACCTTCCATTCCGAGCTACATCAATTCTTGCTCGCCCAGCAAATGGGCAGAAAGATACCAAGTCACGTGGTAGTTTGTCGAAGAAGCCAATCACTGGACCAGAGATGCACAATAGTAGCAAGCCTGCCTTTAAGACTTCGCCAGAGAAACCATTCCAGCCCCAGATTCTCAAAAGACCACAAGCAAATACAATCAAGGCTTCTCCGCTTCTTGCGCCTTCCACTATTGCTGCTTATTCACCAAACGTCGCCCCTGCTAATGTTGCTGGTCCATCGACGTCTCCGCTATCCTTTACTTCTCAGACTCCTCAGTCAACTGAACAAAAGCATGCTCTTTTGTCACTGTTTGGAAAGTCACCGATGGCGGCGTCCAGTTCAGTGGCTAGAACACCATCGCATGATGGGCCTTCTTCTAATACTTTGATAGATGCAACGAGCAGTGTTGCATCCAGATCTAGAGTTGAAAGTTTGGCATCAGGAAATGGTGAGGGTGTGTCACGACGTGGAAGCCAGACGCCAATATCTTCAGCCGACAAAGGGTTCTTGTTGAACTACTTAGATGCTGTTGCTAGTAGGGGTTATTGAAGGATGATATTGAAGGATGGGCCATTTTCTTTTGTCTGCATGGTTTTGGCATTTCAGCGGGAGTTTGGATTTGGTAACATTCGGAGCATTCGTTCAGTGATATCCCAATACCCAGATTTGCCAAAGCTATGTCGTTGCTTGCCTTATTAGTTTAAAAATGAAAAAATTCTCAAATTTTGGAGTTATAGATGTGAAATAATTGGACGAGTTCATCTCATTATCTAGTTTTGATGTAGGTAGTTACATCAAAATGGATAGTGTACTAATATCGAAATAGATCTGACAAATTGCCCCTCTTCTTACCGTGAACTAAGCTTCAATTACAGCCAATCATCAGCGAATATATAGCTCATTATTACGTCATCTGCACCCACGACAAGTGAAGCTAGTGAAGCTTAATGAGATTTCCCAATCCAAAGAAAATTATTGTCAAACACCCACCCATACCTTAACAAGTGACCCAAGCAACCTTACCAACAACAAACATGAAATCTATATCGAAATTCCTTTCCAAAAGACCCGTATCAGTACCTGCAAATGCATATATATGTAACAGCTGTTCAGGACGTCGTACAATCGAGGCACGGCCAAGGAACCGCAAATGCTCTTCAGCTTCAACGCCAGCCTCAACCCAGAATCCAACATCATCTTCAATAGAAAGCCCCTTCAAGCTCCCGAAAAAGGGTATCGCCCGTCTCTCAACTCGTAGACTCATATCCCTCAGAGGTCCGGACTCGACAAAGTATCTACAGGGCGTTATCACGAATGATATTTACAAAGAAGGGAATAAGAATGGGTTTTATTCTGCGTTTTTAAACGCCCAGGGAAGAGTCTTAAATGATGTTTGGATTTATAGGGATATATATGCGGATTTGAAGGGAGGCAAAACGACTGAGGGTGATAATTGGTTAATAGAAGTTGATGCGAAACAAGTGGAAATTTTGGCAAAACATATCAAGAGGTATAGGATGCGGGCGAAATTCGATGTGGAGATTATAGATGAGGAGGAGAAAAAGATTTATAGTCTGTGGGGAACGAAAGTAGGGGTTAGGGTTATTGATGCGCTAGAACGGGATCGCGAGAAGGCGACACAGGGAATTGTTACGTCGGATACGAGGGCCCCTGGGATGGGAAATAGGGTTATTGTGAATAAGGGTTGGCATATGCATATGGATATCCAGGATGCGGAGGTACAGATGCATGGGGAGGATGTGTATAGGGTGAGGAGATATTTGATTGGTGTGCCGGAGGGTCAGGATGAGATTCTGAGGGAGAGTGCCCTGCCGCAGGAAAGTAATATTGATGTTATGGGTGGAATTGATTATACGAAGGGCTGTTACGTAGGGCAGGAATTGACGATTAGGACGCATCATATGGGCGTTATCAGGAAGAGGATTGTGCCGATGATGTTGGTTCCGGATGGGGAGGATATGCCTGGGTTAGGAGAGTTGAAATATAAGGGGGGTAACCTGGCGAGTTGGCTGAATGGTGGGGAAAATATTAAGAAAGTAGGTGGAAAGAGACCGGTGGGGAAATGGCTGAGTGGTGTGGGAAATTTGGGATTGGGGCTGGCGAGGTTGGATGAGATGGGTAAGTGGATGGTGGAGGAGAAGGAGGCGGATGGTGTGGATGAGTTTGTAGTAGAGGGTAAGGGAGAGAAGGAGGGAGAAGTAAGGAATATCAGGGTTAGAGCTTTTCCTCCTGCTTGGATCGAGACATAGTAGAATACACTAATGGTTTTCGGTTTCGGTTTTGGGGGTCAACATACAAGGTCACACCGGGCATTGCACACCAACTGTGTAATGAAATGTATTAATAGGTATTACTTATAGCTTATAGTTTGAATATCTAATTATCTCCACATGTATGTGAAGCATTTCCCCAAGCAACCAGCGCCATGCTAAATTCAAAATGGTAAAGAAAAGCCAACCATAACTCTTGCCCTTGTGTCTGAACGCCGTTGGATGTCTGAACTAAATAAAGTCTCTGGACTAGATTGGATAATGTTAGGGCGTAGCACAAGGTACAGCATGCACCCCGTTAAATGCTGCGTTTGAGTCTGCTTTAAAACTAGTATCTGGTGTAGAAGATTCGGACGATTTGCCTGCTTTCCTAGCTTTTTTATCCGCTTTTCGTTTTGCTTTTGCCGCTGTAGCTTCAGCAATTAGACGTTCAAGACGCGCTACCTTTTCGTCTTCTGAATTTGATGTGGCAGACGTTGAAGGTTGTGGGCGAGGTTGCGATTGCGATTGCGCTTGAGGTGGCGGCCGCGGCGCTGACATAGGTGAGCTAGGTGAGCTAACATTCTCCGACATCATACTCTCCCTCTTGACTCTCCTTTTCCTTCCCTCCTCCGCCAGCTTTTTAATATTTTCATCCATCTCCTCATCCTCTCTACTCCTCTTTCCTAAACTTCCTCCGCGTTCTCTCGCCTCTAAATCCTCTTTCATAGCTCTTCTCTTCCCTTCAAATAGTGCCGCGGCCCTTTGCCTTTGCATCCGTCCATTGCGAAAATTATCATACTTTTGCTTGGATTCGGGGTCTGCGAGTACGTCATTTGCGGCTTGGAATTGCTCGTATTTGTCGGCGTCGAAAGCTGCGCCTAGTTTGTCCGGATGGTATTGGAGGGCTGTTTTACGGTAGGCCCGTCGCAATTCGTCCGCTGTGAAGGATTCGGGCGTGAGGCCCAGAAGGGCATAGAAGTCGATTTCTGAGGTTATCCATTTTGTGAGGTCGTCGGAAGGCATCTTGATGGTTGGTGTGCTGGAAAATTGTGGTTCTAGTTTCTTGGTAGATTTGCGCGACGAACTTTTCTGAGGTTTGGTGATGGGGAGGCGGCCAGAAATGTCATGGGAAAATAACCTTAAAATGCGCTAGTGGAGCTCATTACTAATGGACCATTCTAGTACAAGTACTCCAAAGGCAAGATCAACCGATATTTAGCCGGCTGGGTCGGTCGATGTTAAGTAAGAGTCATTCATGTTCTCGTTTACATTATATTACAATATTATCATGAAATCGAATATCTTCAAGAATTGAACCCCGCACGCTTGAATAGGTCTACCAATACTTATCATATGCTATTTCCATGGCCTTGAAGCACACGTATTTCTAATACGTGACTGGAGAAAAATCTTACTAGTATGGCTACGTCGAATGGTGAGGCCATTGCCAATGGCATGGCTGCTTTGGACTTATTAGATCCTGAGCCCAACTCAGAAAGATCAGTGGCAGAATTACTTCAAAGGTCTAAAGATTTGATGTCCGAGCTCGAACAATTCAAGACTGGATTGAGGGAGCGAAAGCAGGAAAAGATGGTTGAACTGAGGCACTTTTCGACGAACCTCCAGTCCGAGATCAAATCTTTAACAAAACTCGCGAATCTAGATCCGGAGAACAAAAAAGTTGCTCATACAATCAGTTCTTCCAATTTTCCGTTCTATTCAGCTGTTTGGAATGCGGCAAAGGGTTGCAAGGGCATCACGGCTTTGAGGAAACGTTTCTTTTGGTGCACTGGTCAAAGCTTGCTCAAATCCAAGCGAGGTGATCTCTCAGCGCAGAAGAATATTAAAAGTGTGGAGGTTGATATCGTGGCCGGAGAAGATCTTGAATGGATCAAAGTAAGCACAATTACTGCTAAGAGGATGATATATGATTTAGCAAAGGCTGGATGGGCTGAAGATGACTCGACTAATGATGAGGAGGACGATGCTGTAAGGTTAGATACAGAAGATGAGCCGGAAGGTCTCTTGAAGCAAGCCAAGCTACTTGTAGAAGCCTCTAAGTTGGCTAGAACTAAATATCGGCATCCATCAATACGCATGGTACTACCTAGGATCACGCGAAATTGTCCAAATCAGGTGGCCAATGTTTTGAAAGAAATTCGGGCATTAGGAATCTCAGTGCAGATATATGAGGACATCCCTGCGAGCTTTGAAATATCACAAGCTCTCCAACATATGATAGCAGATCCTTTCGAGAATTTCTCCAGAACACTCAATGTTGACTGTACAATGATCTTCGCATTTATTAGTGAGTAAGTAAGAGATATTGTATCCCGTGATGGGTGCTTCCACTTCCCAAAAAAACAGTCAACCATTTCCTTGTTTGCTAATTACCAAATCTTCAGTCTGTCGCATGGCCGTGTTGAGCCAAAAGACTGGCATCATCGGTTTCTGATCAAACAGATGGAAATGGAAAGTCATGACCAGCTCTTACCTAGTATTGTTTGGCCTGCATGTGGGTCCAGGAATCTCGTATGCACTCGTGAAGCAGTTGCAAGAGCTCAAGAGATAATAGACACAATTGGAACAGACACCGAAAAGCAACGGATGGAACTGATATTTGGTTTCAATCATGAGTTGACAAGGGACCAGCTGGCGAGGGAATTTCAGAAGCTCTCAGAGTACAGCATTCCTCCGGGATGGCAATTACCCATCACGGTACTGGATGTGGATATATCCAATATTGTCTCCAAACTTCCTATCGTTGCCAACGACGTCTCAAATGTCCTAACTGGTGTTAATCAGTCCGTGTTTCTGTACGGATGGGCATCTGGGTTAACGACAATCAGCAGTAACCGTGTTGTTGCTAAAGAAATTGTGGCTACGATCGAAGCAAATAGAGGTTCTATGGACGTCCAGGGGCCCGAAATCTGGTTATCCCCCATGGCTAGATCTCTTGTAGGGAAAGAAAAACAGCGACGGGGAGTCAAAGAATGATTTATCAGGTACTATAGATTCGAGTATGTAGCTCGTACTCTCAAGTTTAAATACAAGCAAAAGTTGAACAATCTATATAGAATAGTTTAAATCCCTAACAAAGCCTAGACTGCAATCCAAGAAGCCAGACTTTTGAACTAGATATAAATATCATATAATCATATAATATCCATATTCAATCCAAAAATCCAGACTGCCATCTGAACTTTTTGAATTTATATTATTCAATCCGGATCATTTCTTCAATTCACTTTTAATACTAGTCATTTAGACTGCCGTTCAGATTTTAGACGGCAGGACTACTGGATACACTGCGTATTCAGAAGTTAGACTTTAAATGTATTACTTTTGACTCGTTGAAGTTAGCGCAAAGGGTAGATAAAGTTTACCTCAGCGAATAAAGTTACATCTTTAACAGCTTGCACTACAAATATAGCTTCGTTATTGATTGTGCTCTGGCGTTTGAAAACCTAATACCAGAATAGTAATTAATTAGCGTCATGTATTCCCAAAGCTAGAGATTGCCAAATATCAAAGTCTGCGCAAACCCCTAATTATCCTCGCCGTTTATCGTCATTCTAAATCATTGCAATATTTTCGTCTGCTTTTATTGCGTCTTCAATCAATTCATCTCATTTAACTGAGCTAGAGCTGGGAAAACTGCAAGTTAAGCTTCCGATAGTCTGATAAATGCTTTAGCCCTATGTAATGGGAATCACACGTGAAAAGACTGTTTCCCTTAAATTTTGCATTTCTTCCGACTGAAGAGATATTTGTTACATTTATCTAAGGTCTTACGAATAATGTGATATCATATGTAATCATTTGGCCATGTTTGATTCGAATGTGCTGTTCAAGAATCAAGAATCAAGATAGGTCGCAGAGTTGTTGCTGAGTAAGGAAGAGTGATTTGCTGTTAAGTTCGCGCGTGAGGTCTTTTTAAACGGATGGATTGATTGTTATAGATAACTTGCATGTTAGACAATTTTCTAGACATTGTTATAATCAATTGAAACAACCAGGAGACTTTTTTTGTTGAATTGCATTCCAGACTACTCGGATTACTCGGGATCCTTATGCACTTTTGTATGCGTAAAAATGATTGCTGATAATTAGATTGTTTGGTTTCGAGTATTGTTTTACTAGGAGATAGATTGGATTAGGCAAGTCCACTTAGTTGAGCACTAGCTTCAGAATACTGCTTAGATGGAAACCCACTTCCCTGCTCCGCTGTTGGAAATATCATTTAGATATGATAGATGCGAAGCATAGGAAATCTACGTCGGAGGGCGCTGACGGCCATGTTCAATATTTGGCTTCAGCTAATCTAAACGATCTGTCAGCATACTCTTGTCACGTTTGTGGTCCGAAAGAACAGCTATTTGAGGAGTGTTTCTTCGAAGAGGATAGAGACAAAGATTTCCTTAATGTGGTGCTGGATTTATGGCAAGTTTGGGTCACATATTGGCGCAATTCAGAAGGTAATGTCATCTAAAGAGTTCGAGGAGCTCTTAAGGGACGAAGTTCCACTGGTACTGTTTTCCATGTTCCAGTCTGTAGCTTTCGAATTTTGAAAGCATTTCCATTGAGTGGTTTACTAAGAGCATCGAGGTAGTTTTGAATATTTGATTGCGTTTGGATAGCGAAATTTTCCAAGTAAAGCTCTCGTTTTAATTAACCTACTGAGTTCAATTAATAATCCGATCAAAGGTTCAACCCTCGAAACCTGACAATAAACTGCAGTACGTACTACACTCCCCTGCGACTTCCGTTTCCGATCCTCTTGCATTGATGCACGGCTAGATAGGAAGATGGGAGGAAGTTAGACAGTCCATTGCATTTTTAAAACTTGCCACAGGTGGACTAGTGGGACGGGTATGATTCTTAGATTTCATACTAGTAGTGTGATTTATCATCATTCATTACATATGTAATTCAACAGCTGGAGTAACTTGCGGTTTAAGAAAATGTCATCATAACCTTAATTAAGTATTCCGGTATTACAGTCTCGTCTCTTTAATACGCCAATCTACTAGGAATCGATGGGAGATGCTTGTAGGTCGACCCGCAATCAAATTTGGGTTATATGAGGGTAATCGCAGAAAGCGGTAGTTAGCCTCGGATTTTTGGTTTGCTTTGGTTGCAGGTCTGGAATATCGGCACTTCTAACTAGCTTCGGTATCTGTCAATTTGTTGCATATCTGAGGACTTCGGCACTGATTGCTTCGCTATTGCTAGACCCGGCACTCACAGGGGATATATAACGGATAATCTTGGCGTAGTATACTAGCTCCGTAGTCAAAATTGGTGACATAATCATTTTGTCCACCCTGAAAATCAAAATATTCTAATTTCAGACAAAATTATATTATATTGTGAATTTGCTAATCATTAACAATCAATATTCCATTTTTATCAAGTTTCACCCCTTCATTCTATTTACTTTCATATTTTAAAAAACTATTTGTTGATTCACTTGTTCACATTTGTTTGCATACATAATATTCTGAAAATTCATTGATTGAAGATTCTATATAGTTCACAGAAATATTACAGTACCCATCCAAAATACTAAAGAATAATGATAACACATAATCGGAACACATATTTCAATGAGCTATTCCTCATCATCAATCCATTAAAAAGCCTTCTTCAGATTTATTCTTGTAATAATAACACACACTGCTGTCTGTCCACAGTCTTTCTAATATCTAGCCTTCTCATCCCTGCTAGCCCTTAGGATAATGGCCAAATCCACTACATTCCGATAGCCTTTATTCTCTTTCCTCCTTCTCCATTCCATCCGCCATTCTGATCCTGACCTTGGACTTCTTGACGAGCACTACCACGCTTCTTTCTAGGTGGATCAATTTCCATACTGCTTTCTTCCTGGACAATTTTCTTCTTTGCTTCAATTTTTCTGATGACCGCGAGTCGACAGAGATCCCTGACACCAGCCGCATATCCGGCTTCATGCTGAGTACGGTGTATTTTTCTGGGAACAACAATATTCGGAGCGACACTCCTAGCCACGATGGCATAGACATCAAGGACTCTCTGTGCCACCATAGCCGCAGACCAAACGTCGTCATGATTTGCTTGTAGGTATTGGTTGGCAACATCAGAGGCCTTCTGGAGCAACGGCCAAAATGTATACTTTTTCGCTGGGTAAACGTCTGATTTGATATTCGAGGCTTGCTGAATTGGTAGAAGTACCAGAGGAAAAGCTAGCTGCTGGAGCCCAGGTAGCGCCCCATTTAGCACATGTCGGTTTTGGAAAAACAATCCGACAAGTTCACTGTGCTCGGCGATCATGTGAAGAAACTCCCAGGTTTGAATAAGGAGTGGTGACAGCTGGATATTTGCAACCGTCATATCCCGCATGATGTCCGCAATTAGATCTAGAATTAGACTATTATGGAGCAGCTCGTACAGTCCGAATGTGAGTGGCCCGCTTCTTGGTACTACAGCCAGGATAGTTGTAAGAGCTTCTAAGAGCACCGGATACACGTCTCTCGAACCTTCAACTGTTGAGAGTATTGGAGATACATAGCGAAAATTAACCACTGCCGTATCGACGGAGAGGAGAGCATTCCAAACGATGCGAGTATCGGCAAAAATACACTCCGTAAGGTGAGGAGCCTTGCCACAAGGCAGACATTGTCCTGAGCTGCATTTAACACATGTAGCAATGTTTAAATGTGTCTGAGTTGCTTTCGAATTTGGGGCAACTAGATTAGGTTGCTGTTGGTCTGGCATCCACATATCCCGAAGTTGGTATTGGGAGAACCACCCGCACTTGTAGCACTTAATTGAAGGGCCTAATTCCGCCGCTAGTGCAATATTGTATTCTAACTGGCTTCCCTGGTTGCTGTGACGGGTTTGTTGCTCCACAAAACGCTGAGGAATCTTGCTTCGATGAGCTGCATCATCATCATCGGCCTCTAGATCTTTCCACGCGTCTTCGAAGTCGTCTTCAAAATTCTGCACAGTATATCAATAGGCAGTCTAGGACGTGGCAGTATTATGAGCTTACATCATTTGGAGTGGGATTCACAGGAGAGATAGTGGCGGCGATGAAAGATGCTTGTTTCTCGTCTAACCTCAAATACTGGAGCCTAGCGGGGAGGGCGCTTGCTGGGTCCGAAACAGATGATCGAGGAGTCTTGACTTGTGGCAAAGCAATTGATTGGAAGGGAGTTTTCCTTGAGAATTTGGATGACTTCAAGTTCAAAGTTAACTGTGTGCCCTCCAAGGTGAAGGGACGGAAAGATAGCATCTTAGAGAATAATCCGTAGGTATTCTTAATGGGTGAATTTGATGTGTTATGATTTATGTTGATTGGACACGGAAACTTTATGGGAAGTAAAATCTTGGAAGTGGTTGATGATTTCAGATGTTGTCTCTCGAAGGCTCTGTGTGTGTAAAGGAGAGGATCAGAATTTTTGAACGGGGGGGATGTGCTCATATATATCAAGCCAGTCGAAGTTACGGTATTCGTTATTCAGATACAGCAAACCGTATTAACCGTACGGATTAATTGCAAGTTCGAGACTAGCACGTCAGATACATGTTACGAGGGTAGCCGTCTAGATCACGTGAAAGTGTTCTAGGCTCTCGAGGTAGGTTTATAACTAGGCGTCAAGCAGGGACTTAAGTAACAACGATAATGATATACTATTCATAACTAATAGTAGAATATACTAAATGATTGATCTTGAGTACGAAGCTCTATACAAAGGAAATTCATCTTAATTATATAGACCTTCGTACTTAGTTGGATCCTCTTGGATCCTAAGCTCCAAGGCTCCTGGCTCCTTGGATCCTAAGCTCCAAAGGATCCAAATCACATGTTTCGTGCACGTGACTTAAATTTTGGTAAGTCGGTTATTGCTTCGTAACAATACAGCCAGACTTTGATGCACGGTAGCTTCCTTGCTTATTATTTTTCTTGTTTTGATGATTAGCGCAAATTAGTTGTAGTCGATTTTTAAATACGGCAGTATTTTCGCTTATCCATGTATTCTTGTTAGGCTGATTAGCCACGAGCATACAGCCAATTTTTGGAGTACGATGGCAACGTGTCATACTTACGGTCGGGTTGGATACAACCAAATTGTTAAATACACCTATATTTCTTATTATACTGCTTAGTGTGAAGTATATACGGCCAAGTTCCTAAGTACTGCAGCTGTCTTGTGTATCAAAATTCCTTAGCACATTGATTAACGTGAATTAGACACAACCGTAGGCTGTATGCGTCCCATTCCTGAGGTGAGGATATCTTTTTGCTTGCTTTTATCTTTTGTTACATTAATTGCGTGAAATAGATATAGCCATTTTTTGAACTATCACTGCGGTATTGCCCTAAGAAAGCGAGAAATACATCTAGGAAGTATTTCGCTTAATTATTTGTTTTTTTTATAAGGATAAGTGGGTTCAAATTTGATCAAAAATTAATTTAAATGCTTCCTATACATATTCATTTTGTACTTCAATAGCATTATCTATGCTTGTATAAGAGTACAGCAACCGCCTTTCTCGAGGAGCCAGGAAATTCAAGCCCATCTTGTGGAAATGCCACCATTAGTCTGACCATTCCTAGATTTGACTGAATTATGAGCAATTGGTGCATTTTGGTGAACTCCTAGTTTTTGGCGATGTGCGTTAAACTATACGTCCATGAGCTATGCTGAGGCATATTGCATGCATATGATACCTTCGGCGAAATTTTTTATCTTCGCTTAGAGTGGGGTGCTTTTGATTAACCGAAGGAAGGGGTAAAACATTCCTAAATAACCTAGAACAATGATTTATCTGATCAAATCGGTAGCAACATACAATTCAAGTTTGCAGAAGATTAGTAGTAAGCTTTAAGGGATTTTCCTTGAATGTGCAATACCGGTTCTGTAATTTTTGGCTGTGTATAATTTTGGGAGAAGTAGGTTACTGTACTATAAACTAGGCTGCGCAACAGGGCTCCGTGGAGCGGATTATTGCCTATAATGAGTAATCTATAGATAATCCATTTGCAGGACAAGTAATTAAAGAATCTGAATAGATTATTTATAAATTATCTATAAATGATATTCGTTTAAATTTTTGAAGTTGTTTCTATATTTTTTATACTAATTTTTATATTTATTTTATATAAATTAATAGATAATCTGCAAATAATCTATACAATATGAATTATTTTAAAATCCTAATGAGTAACCTGGAAAACAGATTTTAGGTTTATTGGGTAGCCCGCGAGGTAGATTATTTACGGATATCCGCAACCTGCAGGTTATTTTTGCACAGCCTACTGTAAACTGATAGCTGGTTTGCTGATGATTATAGACATCTAGTTTGTAAAGTGGCGCTATGAAGACATCGGATTGAGTCTCGTAGCAATTGTATCCACTGAGTTCAAAGTATTAAACAAGTGAAGGCCGAGATTAGATTACAAATATGGTACAGCTCTCGTCCTGCGAATTTTTCTTTTCGCTATGAAATTGCTACCATTATCAACTTTGTTGGAATTAGTCATATCACTCATTTTTTTAAACTACAAACAAGAACCAGATTGGCCGGGCTTTGCTCTTGGCTTATAAATCGGTTGAGCTGTGCAGCCCCTGCACAGCTCAATCAGTCACCGAATCATGGGTGGATGGATAATCACTCCAAAACTCCATCTTCCACTAGGTAGTGAGAAATGGATATCATGAGTTAGAAAAGAACTAGTCAGCATCAATTGAAGAGTTTGGGTGAAATTCTGATCCTTGTAACCAACGCAGCACCTTAATTTCTGCACGAAATCAAACCTCTCACCACAGCCTTCAAAAAGCAACAAGTGATACAACGGTGTCAGAGGCGGGAAATCCAACTTCAATGGAACAGTTCCAAGTACAGCCCTCCCACTACTGAGGATTATGGGGACATCACAACACAAAATTAATTATGCGGAGACAAATCCTAAGGTTATGCATTTACAAGAGGGTCAATCAGGTCGCTTTCTAATTTAGGAATAATTAGAAACTTTATATGGCATCAGAATGGACGGTTCAAAAACTATCATATGTTTTAGGATATCACTAACATGATGGCTCAATACCTCCATATTCCTCTAAGCTAGCTAGGTAGGCGAGCACGCAATAGATTTCTTCTAAGGGTATATGCTATAGTAAACTTTCTGATTTATTGATTGCACCCAGCATCTCCTCGCTAAGATACCCAGAATCACCTCATTAAGCCTGTCTTTATGTGCAAACTCCTTTATTGAGTATATCTGCAACCACATCTTGGCATGCACTGGCCATGGCCCCCTTCAGTCTCGGAGCGATCCCTCCTCCTCATCTATATCTGGGTATAGCAGAGCCTAAACCACCACGCCGCCGGTCTCTGGCCTCTCTTATGTCACTTCCAAACTCCACAACTACCTCACAGCTTCATCTCTACTCCAACCCATAATACTTCGACGATACGATCGATTGCATGAGTGGGCCTTGAATCAAACCTAAGAGTTGGGTATATATACCCACAAAAACAGAATTCTGGTAGTTACTAGTAGATAAAGGAGACGGCGTGTGTCAAGTATTTGATAATGACATGTGGGATGCGCATCGACGCCTCTAGAGCTTTGATCCTATATCACAGCTGTTTATTTCTACAAATTCTTTTCTTTTTAGTCAGATTAGAACAGGGTGAGGGTCTTCAATTTCTACGTATATGCTTTTCATTATTCTTTGTAACAGATTTTTCCTTCAATAATTACTACCACCAGAAAAGAACTAGCTTCAATATTAAATGTACATGATGCTTTTTTTTTTATCTGCTTTGATTAAGCTATTCTACACTGAAATCTATTGTAGATATTGAAATTATATTGAATGAAAGGAGATAGAAGTTGAAGAGCCTATAGCAAATAATGGAAGACTATGTTGACAAGGTGTTCTCTGTGGTAGTAAATAGCAGGGGTAGCCAGCCCTAATTCGTACTAGTATAAATCTGTATATATATATAGAGTTCTCCTTTTATAACTTCCCCTTTACTCGAAACAATATACTCCGAGTGCCATCCTATTCTAGGCGCTATGCTTCCCATCATTCCTGTAAGAGATCATTACTCTTAACAGACTATAATATTGAGTTTTAATTATTACTTGAAGAGTTTACACGTATAAGTATATCGAACATTAGTGATAAACATCTTACTCACGTATAAACAGTAGTGGATTTTAATTTTTATCAGTCGTTGGTTATCATTCATTTCTCCAGCCAGTGAGACCCAAACAGCAACTAATTTCCCAAATGTAATTGATTTCAAGTCAGTCACCATCATGCATTGGTCCAAAGAAAAACTCTGAGATTCCAGCTGCTGTACAAAAAAACATACAGTGAGTTAGAAGCGAGAAACATTGCAGTATATAAACTTTGAAATTTTTACGTTCAAAAGGATCTCCTTGTTTCTTACAACACCATAATTTGACCTTCTCTGATCACATTTTCACCCGTTTTCCCTATGACCTACAACTAGTTATTCAAAATGAACACAAACACACCACCAACCTTCAACTACAAGGCTCCTATAGACAAAGGAGATGGAAGATACCTCATTGAGCCAAACTTTTCATCTTCTGAGCCTCTTAATAAACATTTGGCAATAGCAAGGAACTCAGAGATTCCCAAGTAAGTCCCTAGCACTACCTAAATCTTCTATATACCCCTTTCCCGGCTGCCACCGACGCCACTTTCCGCAAGGACAATGCTAACTCCTACTCATTTAGGCTCCTCACAACGAAGGGGGCACTAACAGAGGCCGAGAATGCATCAATGCTGTATCATCACCTGAAAACAAATGAAACAGTGTATTTGGGTACAGAAAGAAACAATAGGACAACAGCGGGCTACCTAGACCCGAAGTCCTATCACCAAAAAAGTCCCAAAGCCTACGCAGCAGCCGTAAAGGCACAGAAGATGGCTTTACAGCGTGATGAGAGGAGACCTGGCGAAAGTAAGCTTGAGATGATCCTTGGTGGGGGAAGGAGGGCCAATCCTAGGTGCTATACGCTTGGGTTTACCGTCAATCCACAAGCGTTAGCGGCAGGCTCTGGCCCTGTCAACAAGGCCATTCTAGCGAACCAAGCTTATGTGCTCGAGTTCTTGAGATCGATAACAGAAGCTCTTATTGGACCAGTGGAGACCATTGTTTCAACAGAAGAGCTAGATCTTGTTGCTAGGCAGAGGGAAATCGATGTCCCCTTCACATTCGGATCAGCTGCCAACTACTTGTTTAGTAAGCTATGACTCCTACCCCAACTGAAAGCTTTCCTGACCTCAAACGTTAACTAACCTTCGATTAGCATCCTTGCAGCTCAACTACTCTGACCTTGACCAGGCATCTCTAAAAAACTCACTCGGCTCTGTAGGCGGGCTTCATGCTGACGCGAACGATAGCCCTAATCATTGGACCTCGCTCCTGTGCCTCTCAAATATGCCATCTAACTACTTTGGAGGTCGCACAGCAATCACATCCATCAGAACATACACCGAGTTTCCACCCAAGGGGAAAGGGGTCCTTGTTTTCAGAGCTTTGCACCCCCATATGAGCATTGGACCCGCAAAAATGGAGGAGCATTCAGCTAGAAAGCCTTTGCATTTCGAAATGCCAGAGGGTGACGAGGAACTCGATCCAGTGAGGTATATCGCTTCTCGCTGTATGGCAGTTGGTTATCCCAAAGAGCACATAATGAAGAAATCTCCCGAAATCCAAAGGAATCTTACCCCTCTTCTTTATAACCAGAGGCCGAATACCAAGACCAACACTCCAGAGAAACTTCCTGAAGCTCTTTTGGCATTCGGTACCAAAGAAAACCAAGCTACCTGGTATGCCATGGCACAAGCAAAGAATCAGGCCCGAAACTTCCAAAACGATTCTCTATTTGTACCTTTGACTGCAGCTGAAATAGCTCACAACCACCGGTATTCTTTGGAAGATGGCTCAGTAGCTACCCCTGATGTTAGTAGGATTCAAAACACGTTGCTTGGTAACTCAGCGACTGCTAAGGACTCTATGCATCACAAGAATTGGGAAGCTTCGGATAAGTTCAACAGGGAGTTGTTGTCTCAACGTTTCTTCCGCTCGACAAGAAAGTCTGGGGGTGCCTCGTGGACAAGCAAAGAAGGTCCTATTGAACTGGTAGATGAATCTGACATTGGATCTATAATCCGGAGAGTTGAACTTGAGGTGAATGTCTATGACACCTTCTTTTCTTTGTTAACTCATCCTTACCTATTACTAACGCAAATATGTTTTAGTTGGCTGCCAAGATCACAGAAAATTCAAAGCAGCTCAACCTCGAGACCTCCACTCAGACGCAAACACAGTTCGAAGCTGCCGCCAGGGAGGAATTCGGCAAGCGCCCATTTAAATGCGGTCATTGCTCTTCACGATTTCCTGCTATGAAGAAGTGCGAAAGGCATCATATTAAAAAGCATGCTAGGGACTACGAATGGGAGGCTGTGAAGCCAAGTTCAGATTTAAAGTCTCTTCCTAAGTCGGAATCTACAATCGGAAATGAAGATGCAGAAGAGGCAGGAAGAGAAGAGGAAGAGAATAATGCGGATGATTATATGGAGGAAGACGTAAGAAATTCCGAGGAAGAGAATGAAGATAGTGACGAGGAGTCAATTCATGGAGGCCAAAAGTGAAAGCATCTGGGATAAAATAAGAGTTTATTTAAACAGTCAATGTAATGTTATCATTTATCGACAATTCCAAAACTATTTATAGTATTTTATACAAAACTTCAAAATGTGACACTATAACTTTTTTGACTATTTGTAAATTCAAGTATATGAGATCTTAAGTCGTATACCTCTCTTTTGGACCACTCTTTTATATTAGAAACTAACATTTTCACTTATTAATAACTTTATAACAAATCGATATAATTAAATGAAATTTGAATTACAAATTTGTAGAATTATTATTTAGAAAAAATAAATACACTTATATATATATATATATATATCTATAGTCATACTTATAATCCTTACTCACTCACACTCACAAACAGCACCAAACAATTTAAAAAAAAAAAATTTCCATTTTCAAATTTTCCTTTCCTTTTCATTTACAAAAACCAAGAACACTCTAACCGAGTAGCCCCGACATAACGAGAGTGTCCATTCCTAATTCTAACTTATACTCAATTCATAATTACAAAGTTCACCCCCATTTCCGCATCCCCAGCCCCGGGCCCCGGGCCCCGTCCTCATCCCTCATCTTCACATTCCTCCCCAAATATCTTTCGTCTTCCAAAGGAATCCCTCCTTTCTTCCTTACAATCGATGTACCAACCTCCCTGAAAATCAATCCGTAAAATAATACGCACGGACGTTACTTCCCCAAATCATGCATTTCCTCGACGATAATCAATTTATTCATTTTACTTCTCATTTGATCGAAAAAAAGAGCAAATAACTTGTTGATGAAACCAAAATAGTGGAAAACAAGAACAAAACCAAAACCAAAAACAAGAGCAAAAAGAAAAGCAACGAGAGAAAAAAACACACTCCAAGCAATGTAGGTATTAAATCAATCCACCACCCAAACGAGTCATGATCTCATCACAGCCGCGGATTGCCTTCCGGAAAGGGGTGGAAACATGAAGACACTCCCTTCTCTCCATCCAAGAAGATCATTGGGGAAGCAGATGTCGTGATTATAATGGTACAGCGTACTGCTGAGGAGTGAAGACCCCCTTCAAGGTTCCGTTTCTTGTTGCTCGCGTCTCTTGGTGCTTTCTAACCAGCGTCGCTTTCCAGAACGAGTATCGAAGTGAGGAATAGCAGTGACATCTCTTCCAGCATTTCCAATGTTCTCTTTAACCTTGTTGCGCCATGCATCAACTGTATCATATGGTTAGTAATGATCATCGCAATAATTGGCAATTTCAAGAACTGGAAAATTACTCACGGGCTTTTTGTAGAAAAACAGCCTTGTCCGCAAATGTTCTGCTTTGATGCCAGGTCATTCTATATCCCAAGTCATTAAGCTTGACCTCCAACGCTCTTTGAGACTTGCGCATTCTTGGTATAGGAATTTCGCCCTCATCACCGTTTGGCAATTGAACAGCAACCATTTTTCTGCCACGTCGAGATCGACCTCGACCTCCATCAACTTCATCATCGCTATCATCATCCTGGAAGAATTGACTGCCGTTGGCCGATGGAGGGGGCGATTGCATTTGCAATGGAAACCAAGAACGTTGATAGACCGAGTTACTCTTTCGGAATGAATCCGGAATCTCATTGATGTCAACCGTATCCAATGTAACTCGGACACGAATACGACTTTGCTTTATAGGATCCTCAACCAAGATGAACTTGCGCTTTTTTGCTTCGGGAACATTGCCAAAAACGTCAACACCATCTTCTTCCTCTTTTGATTGTGCAGCAATTGGGTGGGCCGAGCGAGGCAATGGGCGTCCGTCGTGGCTGCCTGGAACCATGGAAGCTCCACCTACTGACGAACTCGAAGGGTAGTTGCTGGAAAAGCCTGGGAAAGCTTGACCTTGTCGCACATCATCTCCAGAGTTGGCAGATTGCCCAATCGGAGCTTGATGATGGTGGTGAGTGTTCTCATCCATATATTCTTCGTCGCCTACAAATGGGTTTATTGATTAGCCTCTCAGGTTTATCCGGGAAGCAAAACAATAACAATACAAAGCAAGCAAGCAATGGGGAGCAATACAATAATACAAAGACATAACGCGGGGTAATGGGTAGGTATCGCAGAAGGCAGGAAGCAAAAGTGCAATGTTGTATTATACATGAAAGTGCTTTTGTGACTAGTCACTTTAATGGCCCAAAATTTCCCCCAATCAACAGGTATATTCGCAAGAATGGTATCATAACAAAATAATAATAATCGCACATCACATCTGGTGAAACATACCGACTTCTTCTCCTCCTTGATTACTTCCGTCCGGGTGAGCGTGGTGGTGATGAAGTTGAGGACCACCCATGCCGCCAAGGTTAGGCTTGCCCATGCTTCCCGCGCCGCCAGGACCCATGTTCGCAGAAGGTGGCATCCCTGTCGGACTAGGACCAGTCATATGAGGATTGTGGGAGGTAGCCGCTTGAACCGCTTTACGATTGTTAATTTTTGCCATTCTTCGAACTCTTCGACTTCTCAATCGTGGATCTTGGTTACTGTTTCTCCAACTATCGACCGCTCTTTGTATTAATCCACGTTTGCCACGTAGACAAGGGTTCAATTCTGCCAAGGCCCACCCGACAGTGTTGCACTCGGTTTCGTAAACCAATCGATTTCCCCTGTATTGATCCTTGCTGCAGCACGCCCTCGGGTAAACACAATTCTCCGTTTTAAATTCCGGGGTCAAGGTCTCAACGTTCACAGACTCAACATCACATCTGATCGTATACTCCATCTTGACACGGTCGCGGGAATATTCAAATGCAATCCATTGAACTCCATTGTTGTCTTGTCGCACAACGAGGGGGGTGGTTGCTGGAATTGGACCCGGCGCAGCGTTTGGATTAACCCCGCTACCCCCGTTTCCAGGCACATTGTTAGGTTGCATTTGAGGTGTACCATTTGCAGAATGCTGAGCTCCTAATGGTGGATTTGGTCGTGCAATTTGTGGGACGTGTGGCTCCATCTTCGTTCTTGGGCTACCGGTCATACCTGGCTGTTGGTGTTGATTAGGATGTTGCTGCATCGGGTGTTGATTTGTCTGATGCGACATGAGCAGTGTTGGCTGTGAGGTCATGGACTGCTGATGATGATGTTGCTGCTGTTGCGGAGGTGGCTGCTGTTGCGCATATGGAGAAGGCCCCCCTTGGGCCATAGGAGGAGGATATTGCTGCTGCGGTGGCCCTGGATAATACATCTGCGGGTTTTGCTGCAATTGTGATGATGGCGCGTACATCCTGTTCTCATGTGCAGGCGATGCAACAGAGGCGGGAGAGTTGGATTGAGGAGTTTGGTAAATCGGAGGATATGGCGCTCGCGTCATATGTTGAGTAGCCGCCATAATGTCCGGTGTTTCTGGACCTATGCGACAGTTAGTATTTAGTCTATTGTGTGACAAAAACGCGTTTTTTTTTATTTTTATACGCGTTTACGTACCTGCGGATGAATATGTACCAGATGCGCTTGGTGTACTGTAGGGACTTGGGTGAGTTGGGTAATATGGAAGTTCTTGATGTTGACCACCAGGTCCTGTAGCAGTTTGTGGATATTGAGGTATCGCGTGCCCCGAAGGATACGCGTTAGAATGTTGTGGTTGGGGAGGAGCTTGCTGATGATGCTGGTGCACAATGCTCGAAGGTCGCGGTTGTTGTTGTAGATGGTGTGGAGGTGGAGGAGGACCTTGCGGCGTGTGGTGGGGATGATGCTGCATTGATGCCATTTGTTAGTGATAGTTCCTTCAATTTTTGTGATATATGTAACGTTAAAAATGTAGAGACCATTGAGAAAAGTGAGTCGCGTCGCGATGTATACTTCGAGACTTGAGGTGTATGAAAGTGGTGGTCGATCCTTGATGACGAGGGTCAAGTGCAGCAGCGCGGTACCTGGAATGAGATCTTCTGACAGGACAGGCGGCGTGCAATAATAGTGGTAGAAAAACAGCAAGAAATCTTTAGATGCGGGACTGGGACAAGGGAACAGAACGAGGGTGTACCTCAGTATAACAGATGCCTTGCTTCTATTACGAAATTTTTCAGATGAGTGGACAAGGACTACAAGCGATGAAGGCAATGTCCGAGGATCCAGTTTTTAAGTAGTGGATCTGACGAGGGTGAAAAGCTTATGAGATGAGGGAGAACAAAGGACTTTGAAGGAACCGGAGAATAATAACAGAATGGGGTAGGTAGAAGATTGATCTGAGCGAGGATAAACGTACGAGGGTATGTAACTTTTGATGAGATAAATGACTGTAATGAGGAAGACCGGAAATAGACAGGGCGATTTGAGTGGTCTGGATGGGGGAAGATTAAGCTTGAAGAACAAGGGCTTTGAATGGATTGATTGATAATGATTGTATGGGATATTCAAAAGAAATGTGGAAGAGGGCAAGGGGAACAGAAATGTAAAGTTATTCAGTGGAACCAAGGACAACGCATGGTATAAACGTGACAAGGGTTATATCGCATGAAAATATAGAAAATGTGCGCGGACGTTGCAAGGTATTGAGACCGGATGGGGTATGAAAGAAGAGCTAGGGGCAAGGGGTGGGGGTGAATGATGTTTACAGTTATAACTTTTTTTTAAATGGCACAGGGAAAGGAAAAAAAAGATAAAAATGGTCCGGGTCGGGTTCGGATTTCGTTTGGCCCTGAAAAGACAGCGGTGTGTATGAGTGGAGGCAACTAGTCTATTCAAAGAGAAATTTTGGGCTGGGCTTATGAATTGAAAGTGGGACCAGCCACATGAACTTTTGCGCAGTTGGATGGAGTAATAAGGTACTCTGTACGGAAACGAAATAAACAATAAATCCTCTAAACCTTTGACTAAACTCCTTTAAGAGAATGAGGCGAGTGGTGTAGGAAGTCTGTAATATACATTATGTATATTATGTATAATTTATTTCAGACAAATTAATAAAATAATAATCTTAAGACTACCCAATAATAGTAAAAGATAAGACTCGCGATTAAATGCTAAAAGCCAAACGCTAAAAGGGACTTGCCTTTTTTTAGTGTTGTGTATCAGAATATTACTAGAAGGTTTAAGATGAAATAAGAGGAAGCATTAAAAACTACTCCATCAGTTGTTGATGCGGCGTTGTAACCTTGGCAAGCCGCTATACCAAATGTCTCCTTAGATTTACTGCAGCCTAGGACGAAATACCCTGCTCATGCTTCGAAAATCCTCTTCGCATTTGTTTTTGGTATCGCTCAAACTTGAACTAATACGAAGGGAGCGACGCAAAAGATGAATTACCACAACCAATCAACCATACGACCATCTTTAGAATTGACTTCAGAGGCTGACGAAATGATTGAATGGTGAAAATGAAAAAAACTATCAGGTGCCGCTTGTACACTCCAATCTTTTGATCGGCATGGGCTTTTAGCTGCATGCTTGCGCAACATTACAAATTTTTCATTTTAAACAAAACATCCAATCAAAAATGATAACATCATTGGTTCCACCCACCGAAAAAAAAAGCCCCCCAAATTAATCGGTCAGAGATTAAAGTCACCTTGTCTTTGACGATCCTAACCGTCAAGCGAATGGCTGAAAGGCCGTGCAGAAAATGTGTGCAGACCCAACCACCAACTAAATGTTTTTCGCCTTCTTCGCGTGGGACTGGGTAGCTGAAAATGAAATCCCTTGTTTATTGTGAAACGAGCCTACGAATCCACGATTGCTCGAGTCCAGCTCAATTTTGTGTTCTGGAAAATTATGGAAGCCATACTCCCTTGCTTGCTTGTTATGTGCAAGGAGGCTTGTCCTTGTAATCTTATCCAAAGAAGTGCAACTTGCGACTTCTGGAAAGATCTCAAGACTCGGGAGGAAAGAAATAAGGCAAAGGCATAAATATTAACTTTAATATGATCGATCATCGGATATGCAGCTCGATGGCAAAGTAAATTGTGTACTTACGTGATCGTTATTCACAACATTGACACCTGGCTCTTCCTTATATTGACGATGCGACATCCTGGCTGATGAGTGCTATTTCAGTCAGCAATGGGTTATATCAAGCCACATAAAACACCAGCCACATGTAAACAACCGTTGGAAAATAAATACCAGGAAAATGGTCGTTCACGTAAAACAAGGAATATCATGTATTATGCCATGCGAATGCCATGCAACATCTGTGCTTTGTGCAAGATTACAGGAGTAAAAGGGTCGAACTTACAGTTGACCGGTAACGGATGGTTTGGTTTGAAGTCTCGAAGATGGTTGACGTGTGCGATAAGATAGGATTTGAAACGAGTCCAGTGTATGGTGTAGATCTCTATTTGTGCTGGATTCCGAATTAGCTTTTATTCTCTATTTCAAATTGTCTCGAGCTAATTCAATGCGATTGTCGGAGCAGAAGGTACCCAAAAGTGCAAGGCTGTGCAAAATAAAGAAATGTCGTCAAGTTCGCCCCACTTTCAAATCCCCGAGTAGATCTAGTTAAGAACCATACAAGGTACAAAGGCGGAGAAGGGAATCCATTCAATTGATTCTTGAGCCTGGGTTGGAATGGAATCAATCGACTTCCTGTTCCTGAGGAGCCACAGTCCTAGGAGGCTAGTGAGCATCGGGCAATCGAGTAGATGCCCAAAATATCTTCAGCAGCTGACAAGCCTCTTCTGTAATACGAAATGGGCCGGGCCGACACCACTAGCTATCCCAACAATCTACACTGTGGATAGGGGACTTAGACGCAACAGGGTTCGGCGGCGCAACTTAGACATTTTCCGGGCAGGGCACGCCCTCGGTGCGCAAAGGTAACTTCTCCATACTCTGGTCACTGGACCATGCATGCTCTTCACAGGATAGATGATTTGCAGTCAAAAATACAAAAACAATGTTTGGAACTTACAATCCTGATAAACTGCGACCGTAGGATGGCTCAAATCGATGTTAGAGGAAAAGACCTGAATCTCGCGTTAGTCATGTTCGGTAAAGTACTGAAAACACCGAGTCTGTGAATAAAAAGATTACATGCATAAAGCATAGAGTACGGATGAACCAAAGATCGGATAATGACGCAACAATACGAGTGAGGCTGATAGCGGAAGAACAAGGCACAGCGATGACCGTGGTAAGAAGACCAGGTCTAAGAGCGAGCGGATGGACAGATGTATTATACAAACATGGGTAGATCGATTGGTAAACAGGAGACAGCAAAATCAACAGAAACATGGAAAGGATGCATCCAATACAAGGGCGATAAAGCTGGTCATCTGCAACAAGCCTTGCAAGCGGATGACCCTTCGCCTAATAGTGTGGCGGTGGAGAGAAGGCAAGGATTGGGAAGACCTCGCAGCAATGGTTCAATCAAAAATATATCGAGATTGGTGGAGAAGAACAATAGGATCCAAAATCTAGAACACTTACCTGTGAGATGTCTTATCAAAATAACGTATGAAGGTCCGGCTAAATGCGTAAAAAGCTGTGAGTAAAGTTATCGAGACGGATGGTTTTGCTATAAGGATTTGAGTTAGAAAGCTATTCCATGCAAAATACCCTGGAAGCAGGCCCCTGCTACTCCACCGATAAGCGTGCCGATGTATTTTTTCTTATCACAAACTGTTCCTTCAAATATGAAATATTGAATATTGAGTTGTAGCAGTAAGAACGTCTTCTGAAGAGACCTGGAAACAACTCGACTTGTGCAGTCGTACTTGGAATGGATAGCTTCATTGAAGGCGAACGAGGGTTCACTTACTGAATTGATCAAGGATGTAGGTAGATATGCGATGCGCCGTGAAAATATATCCGGCGATGAGCTTTTCCCAATTATTATTTTTGTTTTTTTCGATCTCCGATTTCCGATTCTCGATGTTTCCGAATTTATTTTGCGAGTCCCAATGAAATCAAAGCTCTAGCCGAACTTGCAGACGCAGACCGAAAGTTCCCAGATGAATGGTTACAGTTTATGCTCGTCGAGTATCTCGAGGGTGGATGGCTGCTGCTGGAGATCGTGGGCGGGTATGTAGTAGTTGACTGGGATATTTTAATCTTTGGGAATATTTGCAGATCGAGTCTGGGTAACACAGAATGTTAGCACTGTAAGAAGTTTGCATGCAGCTGAGAGAAATGGAACCAACGATGGCAAAAGAGGAGTAGGAACAGTTTCTGTCGAAGAGTTTGTCGAGATGAAATCCTGATAAATTGCGGTCAAGAAAATTCACTTCTGCGCTATGATTCAAAACGGCGCGTCTTCTCTTTTGTACGAGATTCCACGTTGATGGGTTGTACAGCTGGCGACTCTTTTGTAACCTGAGCACTTGTACCAGGATGAAATATCGCGAGGTCGAGGTGGGTTGTATTCAGAAGTTACCGGCAAGAAATCGCTAAACTGTATGTGCCCGCGACGCGCTTCTTACCAAATGTGGCGGCGTTGGACAAATTCACTTGAAATAATTCCAGAGACTCGGTAGGAGAAAAGGGAAAAAACAATTGGATCTCACCTTTCGATATAAATACTGCTGTATGTTTTTTGGATCCCGAGAATCGAAATCCGTGTATGAATTATAATGTTGTTTATTTATATCTTTGCCAAGGTGTAAGAGTGCGACCAAATCACTCTTGTTGGCCTGATATTGAGTTAGAATGTCTATTGTCAAATAGTTGTATGAATGGGTTATCAGGTTGGGAAGGGGAACTCACGTTTTACGGAAGGAACGAGTTCAAGAATATAAATTTATTATACCTAGTAGGTATTCAAGTACTTGCAATACTATTATTAGTTGAACCATATATACAGAGGTGTCCTCAAACCGAAAGAGAGGTAACTCACGATTCAGATTTCCTTTAATAGATTAAATTCCACAGCATTGAACAATTTGCAACCAAGCAAATTCTCAATATCAGTTCTTGTTCCGAATAGCTTCACTTTTTTCCAATTGGAAAAAGGCGGTGATCAATAATTTAATTTTCTGCCAACGGTCCTCTGCGGAAGCAAGGATTGCAATTACACCCGTTTGTTCTGGAGATCCTTGTCGTCGATTGCAGAAAAAGCTTGATTCACACAGCTAGGTTGTTGTAGGCTTGTAGCCGTCCACAAATGACGAGTGCAGTGCAGGGCTTCTCTTTTAGAAACTGGGATGATTGAAATGTTCGTCCAGATGTCTGGAAACTTTGGGGATTTAAAGTTATGAGGCCAGCAAGGTCAAGGGCTCAAAGCAAAGAGGGCTGAAATTGAGGGGAAAGTAGGGATGAATTGAGACGATTAGAAAGAAGAGGAAAAGCCTTAGAAGTTGTGTGCAGCTTCAACCTTGAATGGAAATGGAGATGGAAGGTGTCAGGATCATGGGTAATTAAGTCTTGGGCAAGAGTGGATGGCAAGGGAAAGAAGTAGTAGG